TGTATCTGAATTTTTCTTGGACCCTTGGATCAACTACCCATTGGACCTGATTTCAGATGCATGCCTAATTCAAGCCGTTTTCTGTTGGCTGTCTTTGAAAAATTAAAGCTGTTGGAGATGATTTAAATGTTGGCACAATGTAGCCGTGGGGAGGAGAGATGACAACCAAAAAATGGGCCTGCATATGAATTTTGGTCCAGCAATTACTGTAGCAGTGGGTCCCACCTTTTTATGCTGACTTTTCTCCACTTTTTCTCTCATTTTCTCAGTTGGGTCCCACCTGTAAGAGATGTTAAAAAGAGATGTACAAGTGCATCTAAATTTACATCTCATGATGGTGATGTAAATTTCCACTCATTTACACCTCCCCATTGCGAGTGATTCCGATCACAACGGGTATATATTTAACATACACCCCATTATACATCTCCCACTGTGGATGCTCTTACAACTTGTAGTGTGATATTCAACCACAACACAAGGTTGAGGCCTCAACGAATTCAGCATCGCAGTTAATGCTAAGACAATTATGCCCTACAAAATATTTGAATCCAAGATTATGCAGGAAGTTTAACAAGTTAAAAGGTTATGCTGATATCTAATATGTTATATTGTTAGATCATTCATCTCTACGTGATCAATCTAAGATCAGATTGACCAGACGATGTTATATTGTTAAATTCAACCATTAAATGTGAATATATAACTTGTCCCTCAATTTAAGCCTCTAAATTAAGCATTTCCCCCCAAGTACTTAGCTAGCAATTGCCAAATAAAAGTGAATAGCAGCTAAAACCAAGTACATATCAAAAGTTTTATTCATGTGTTCACATAAATCAGGAGCAAAAAATAGGCACAGATGGAACAAGCATGTACTAAGAGATTGACTATTTTATTACCAGCAAGGAAATGCAGGAGGAAATTGAGATAACGGAGAATGAGCCGAAGAGAGAGTCAGCTACGATTGCTCCGATGATTGGGGAAATACTTGAAGAACCGTTAAACACATTTGCAATCTGAGCAGCATCAATGCTCTTTACATTGAATTCTTCAATCAGAAATACAATCAAATTTGAGAGCCATCCTCCGGCTGTAAGTGTCAGGCCTACCAAAGCCCCTGCGCAATATAGAAGTTCATAATCATAACTCGGATACTATGTTCGACAATCACTACACTAGTGTGAGTTAGCAAACTAATAAAATGAAAGAGACGGATAGAAAGAGAGAGACTAGTAATGAATGGGAAAGTGATCCAACCACCGCGCCTGCAACCGGAATGTGATGATGATGCATGGGCTTCATCATTGTGGGAAAGGGACTCATACATGTTGGGTGGGTGTGTGTGTGTATTTTCGGGGGTGTAAAGCCACTTTTCCATCCCCTTTACTTCTCCGGGGGGTGTAAATATGTTTTTGGCTCCAATAGGAAACGATGTAAATCTAAAGATGTATAATTGATTTGTTTGTCTTAATTTGTTTTTGTGTTAACTTTATAAAATTAATTATTTTATGTATTAGGTTAATTTTATTTTTTCAAACAAATATACCTAAAAATATTTAAATTCAGAGATGATATGATTTCATCGAAAAAGAATCGTTGGATTGTAAAAGATAGGAAAGCACAATAATTAAAATTAAAAAAAAAAACCAAACCAAACCAAATCTTTGAGAGTAAAGAAGAATTGTGATTTTATGAACAAAGAGGTGAGTATATATAGAAAAATCTGAATTTTTTTGGCCTTTGGATTATTGTATCTGAATTTTTCTTGGACCCTTGGATCAACTACCCATTGGACCTGATTTCAGATGCATGCCTAATTCAAGCCGTTTTCTGTTGGCTGTCTTTGAAAAATTAAAGCTGTTGGAGATGATTTAAATGTTGGCACAATGTAGCCGTGGGGAGGAGAGATGACAACCAAAAAATGGGCCTGCATATGAATTTTGGTCCAGCAATTACTGTAGCAGTGGGTCCCACCTTTTTATGCTGACTTTTCTCCACTTTTTCTCTCATTTTCTCAGTTGGGTCCCACCTGTAAGAGATGTTAAAAAGAGATGTACAAGTGCATCTAAATTTACATCTCATGATGGTGATGTAAATTTCCACTCATTTACACCTCCCCATTGCGAGTGATTCCGATCACAACGGGTATATATTTAACATACACCCCATTATACATCTCCCACTGTGGATGCTCTTACAACTTGTAGTGTGATATTCAACATGAACCCGTTGAACGGGTTAATATATATTTGAGAAGGGATATGATTTCCCCACTCCCCTTTTCCACACTTACACTCCCTTTTGCTTTTTAATATTTTTTAATTAATTGTGTTCTTTCTCTTTCCTATTCTACCCTTACCCTACATTATTTGCTTTTTTACTTCACTTTTATATTAGTTCTTTTTCATTATACTTAATTAGTTCTTTTTCATCAATATATATAAAGCAAAAGGCAGAGAATGGTGAAACATTCAAAATACCAGAAAATGCCCTTGGTTAATGCAAACATTAAGAATTAAAATTATTAATTAAATGAGGATAATATGGTAAATTCACACCTTTTCATATTTTAAAAAAATATAATTAAAAAATAAATAAATCAGATAATGGCCTATTTTTATGGAACACAACTACCCATTATCTTTTTTAATTCTAAATAAATTTATTTATTTTTTTTAAAAAGCCTCTCGCAGGCGCGGAAGCGCGTGCAGAGAGGCTAGTTATACTTAATTTTCCAACTTGCACTACATTTTCAGTATTTTTTTTTCCTTTAATCGAGTAAGAAATTAAGTTTTTTTTCTCCCTTTAATACTGAAAATGGAGTGTAAGTTGGAAAATTAAGTATAAAGAAAAAGAAATAATATAAAAGTGAAGTAAAAAAGAAAACAATGTAGAGTAAGGATAGAATAGGAAAGAGAAAGAACAAAATTGATTAAAAAGTATTAAAAAGTAAAAGGGAGTGTAAGTGGGGAAATCAGCTCCCTTTGAGAATCCTTCAATTCTACACAACCCACAAAACACGTTTGCAGTATATTTGCTATTATATTTATGGTGTCCTGAATTTCTGTTTGTTAAATTAACAGTCCTTCATGACGTTATTATTATATGTATTTCATTAAGAAAGTTATGTTATTTAACACAACTTTTTTTCATTTAAATTACCACTTAATACGTTAAATTACCACTTTTTTCATTTGGATGGTTCTGTATTTTTTCATACTTGGATGGTTTTTTATGCAGTTTCTCTTGGTGTTGCTGTCTTCTCCTCGAATTTGTGGCGGTTGTTGCCGTTTGCTGAGTTTTTTTGTTTGTTGCATTTCATAGACTTGGGTATAATTAAGTGTTTGTTGTTGTATTTCATAGAATAATTGTTTGGTTCTTGTAAACAATTGGGTCATTGGCTTTGTAAGCTATTTGGAGCACCTAATATGCTAATTTTCTCAATTTGTAATTCGATTTTATGTTCATTTATTCGTAATTTGTTTCATATTTGTATTTGGGTGTAACTTCTGAATGGGTGGAATCCAGCCCAAGGCGCGAGCGCTTGGGTTTCAAATTTTTTTTAAACAAAATATTTAAATATTTAGCATTGAGCACGATTCTATAGTTGTGCCTGCACATATATGTCTAATCAACTGATAAAGTTGCTAAGTTATAGCTTATCAGAATGGAAAATACTAGGGAGACCAATTTGGGATACCAACTTGTGTACCAACTCTCTAATAGAGCGTGAGACCCATTGTATTGGTGGGCTCCACATCTATTAGAGAGTTGGTACACAAGTTGGTAACCCAAGTTGGTCTCCCTAGTATGACCCTATCAGAATACAAGCACAGATGCCTCTTTTCGTGCTCTATAGTGTCTGACACAAATGACCAATTAGTGTCCTATAGCAATGGAAACTCCTATATAGGAAACCGTCAACTTAAAAGTGGCTGCATCGTGGTATTTGATTATAAAGCACAATTATTTGTGTCTTTTGAAGTTAAGAGCACAAATAAAAATGGTGCCTAAACCCAAATATTGTAGTAGTGTATATGGAGCTTTAGTTTAAGCCCACTAAATAGTTTATTAATATATAAAATAAGAATATAATTTTACCTACTTTACATAAGGCCAATGCCTAAAAAATAGGATGTAATTTTACAATCACGCAACGAAAAAACCTCAAAATTACAAAACTATTATTAAATGCTGTCAAATTTTATTATTTTATTTAAACTCAATCACAATAACTGCTTGCACCATCAAACTCAATAAATGACAGTTGTCTTAATGCCAAAATTACACAAATTGCACAAATATAGGCCTTTACAAACACACATGAGTTTTACTTACTGTATGGGTGGAAATATGAAAAGAAAACATAAACTAGCTGCAAATTAAAGCATGTCATTTTCTTTTTGATAGAAAATATATAGTTCACTACATTAAGAAATCACTTCGTAAAAATTCTCCCTTCCCTTCCAATCGCAATCCTGGCATTGGGGCAAGCATTTTCCATCATGGCTAACTAGTTCCAACTTCTAACCAAGCAAACCATCTAAAGAGTTTGACTGGTATATATGAACCAGACAAGAAACAAAAGAGTTTTAACTTGGAAAAATAGTTTAGTTAACATAAAGATGGGTACTCAACACAAGTTCAATCAAGGAACTATCCCAAAATAACACACTCCTCTCCAGAACATCAATGAACTAGAAGCCATTAGTGTATATATTATACATTATGTGGGAAGAGAGACAAACCAACCTTTGATTTTCAAGATCCTCTGTAGATAACTAATTTTGAAGTCAATGTCAATTGACTTAACCTATAATGGTCTATGTTTTGTCAAAGTTTCTGATCCCGAAACAGTAGACACATTATCTGTAGAAACATTTTCAAGCTAGGACAGTCGTGAGAAGGCACACCTAAATTTATATATTTGGCCTTCTATATACTGCAAGATGCCAAGTGACAGGAATACAAAGTAAATAAATCATCATAGATTAAGGGAAAAGTTCAAAAGAGATATCCCACTAAACAGAACTAATACCAGAAATTAAGGATGCAAGTGAGAAGGCATTTTCACCTCCTGCCATACGCACAACCACTGTAATACCTTTATGGTCGTTGAAGGTGCAGCAGTTCCAAATTTCATTGTCCACAAATGCATATTAATTTCACAGTGATTTTTTTATCAAAGGCAACAAAGCAGGATCCACTTCATCTTTCGACAGTAAATTAACTATCAACTCCATTGTTGATGCATCTGCAGAAAAACCCTTCTCTACCATTGTTTGAATAAGTACCATCGCCCTTGATGTCTGTTTATTATGGATGAACCCTCGGATAATTGTGTTAAAGGTCCAACCATCAGGAGAACAGCCTTTCACTTCCATTTCAATAAGTAACTTTTCTGCTTCACTTGTAAGGCCCGCGAAACAGAGTCCATTAATCATTATAGTGTATGTCCTCACATCAGGTCGAAGTCCTGATGATGATAAACCACAAAAGAGATCCCTTGCAGATTCAATTTTTCCAGCTATGCACAAACCTTCAATAAGAATACTGTAAATCACAATATTAATATCCAACTTCTTCGCTTCCATCTCTCCAAACAATTGCATTGCGGTAGACAGTTGTCGGTTTTTACACATGCCATCCAGTAAAATAGAATAAGTTTGAGCATTTGGAAGCTGGCCACAAGCTTGCATCTCGGAGAACAACTTTTGTGCATCCTGTATTCTACCTGCTTTGCCAAAACCATCCAGAAGAGTGTTATAGGTAACAGGATTTGCAACTAGTCCCTTATGAGACATATCCAGAAAAAGCATCATGGCCTCATCAATCTTTTTATGCTTACAATATCCATTTATCAATGTGCTGTAACTAACAACATCAACCATCAAGCCCTTGCGAAGCATTAGTTCAAAAACCTTTTTCGCTTCGTCCATTCTTCCTTGCAAACAGTAACCATCCATTAGTGAATTGTACGTAACCGTATCAGGTTCAATACCTCTTTGAATCATCATCTCAACCACGCCTTCTGCTTCCACGGTCATTCCCTCCTTACAAAGTGCGTCTACCAAGACATTGAATGTGTGCGCATCTGGAAAGATACTTTTACTCACCATGTCATTCAACAACTTTGTAGCTTCTTTCCACTCGCCTAATTTGCAAACTCCATGAATCAAGGATGTATAGGTAATGACATTTGGGGCAATACCCTTGCACATCATTTCTGAGAAGAGGTTTAATGCATCATCAACTAGTGTGTCCTTACAAAGACTGTCGATGATTGTGCTATAGACAACTAGGTTAGGCTTGCAAGCTCCTTCCTCCATCTTCCTAAGCAACTGAATTGCAGCACTATTGTTACCTTTCATGCAAAAGCCCTTTACTAGTGTGCCGTAAGTAACCACACTGGGCTGACAATTACCTCCCGCAATCATTTTGTTGAAAATTCCTGCTGCCTCCGCCACTCTATTCTCAAGAAGAAAGCCTTTGATTAGAGTGGTGAATGTAAAGACATCTGGTTCAAGACCAAGTTTGAAGAATTTTCCCAATACAGATAAACTAAACCCCATTTGGTTTAGATGACAATAACAATTTATGAGAATGTTTAGAGTATAAACATCAGGTCCAATTTCCGACACATCCATTTTGTGGAGAAGTGCAGCTGCCTCCGCCACTCTATGCTCAAGAAGAAAGCCGTTGATCAGAGTGTTGAAGGTAAAGACATCTGGTTCAAGATCAAGTTTGAAGAAATTTCCCAATACAGATAAACTAAATCCCATTTGGTTTAGATGACAATAACAATTTATGAGAATGTTTAGAGTATAAACATCAGGTCCAATTTCCGACACATCCATTTTGTGGAGAAGTGCAGCTGCCTCCGCCACTCTATGCTCAAGAAGAAAGCCGTTGATCAGAGTGTTGAAGGTAAAGACATCTGGTTCAAGATCAAGTTTGAAGAAATTTCCCAATACAGATAAACTAAATCCCATTTGGTTTAGATGACAATAACAATTTATGAGAATGTTTAGAGTATAAACATCAGGTCCAATTTCCGACACATCCATTTTGTGGAGAAGTGCAGCTGCCTCCGCCACTCTATGCTCAAGAAGAAAGCCGTTGATCAGAGTGTTGAAGGTAAAGACATCTGGTTCAAGATCAAGTTTGAAGAAATTTCCCAATACAGATAAACTAAATCCCATTTGGTTTAGATGACAATAACAATTTATGAGAATGTTTAGAGTATAAACATCAGGTCCAATTCCCGACACATCCATTTGGTTATACAATGAGATGACGGCGGAATAATGTTTCAATTTCGCAACTTGACCCAATATTTGATTGAAATGAACAACTGAAGGCGGAGGACGCATTTGAAGCATTCTATCAAACACATTGAAAGCATCCTCAACAGTTGTGATTGTGGGTACGTTTCTCACTGCCTGGTCTAGTTGGGTTCTTGTAGATTTGATTGGTTTAGAAGGTTGAGATTGAGAGTGAAGGAAAGCAAAGTACTCGTTGGCAAAAACAACAACAGTGGAGTGAGAGTGAAGACAAGGCGTACCTCTCCATCTCCTGCTGGTGCAATAAGAAGAAGAAGAAGCAGCTATATTCCGCATCATCATCTTCAGCATCTCTCGAATAATACCTTTATTTAAACACACTAAAATTCTAAACGAACTTCATTCAAACACGCTTTTTGTCATCTTCTACTTGTTGGAGTGTGCACAGAACAACCTCATCCATGGCTTTGGAACGAACCATCCGCCTTCGGGTCTCCTTCTAATTATTTAGGCTTAATTACATCAATACCCCTGAAATTTTGGTCAAATTCCACTTTGCCCCTTCAAACTCAAAATGACCCAATTTCATCCATTGACCGAGGTTTGGTGACCCACTTTGCTCCCTCCCATTAACTCCATCCAAAAGTTTGTTAACTTTGATGACGTGGCAGAGGTGTTTTTGTAATTTCGTACACATGGATCATTATCCATCAATTGAGTGGGTGATGTGGCAAGTGGAGCCCACCTCCACATAAGAAATTTTAAAATCATTTTTAAAAATTTAAAATAAATAATAAAAAAAACTATCATACCCAAGCCCCCCCCTTCCTGACCCCAATCTCTAGCCCCTACTGCCTAGATTCATCCCAACTCAGAGCCCTAAACCACCCCTCCTCTCTCTCTCTCTCTCTTTCTGCAAATTCAAAAATCAAAAAATTATATATTAAAAAAAACCAAAATAATACACAAAAAAAGAAGGAAAAATACCAAAATGTTCAGAATATTTTTTCTATAAATACATAGCCATGTTCTTTACTTTACTTCACACACCAAAACTCCATACAAATTCCTCTGCTCATATCTCATGTGAATAATGCTTGCTTTTACTTGTCATGGCAGTGAGTGGAAAAGCAAAATAAAAATGAGTAGGGTAGTCACTATTTATGTGAATAGTGTCAGTCCTTCCTTGCCCTTATCCTTTGCCATGGCACCATGACACTATGGGTGAAAGTGCTCTTATATTTTTCTTATAATTTCTATTATTTTCCGGTTGGAGGGGATGAAGATCAAACTCTGTTTTTGGTGCAATTTTCTTTTCTACACTGCGGCAGAGTTTGAAATTTAAGACAAGGAAAAAGAAAAATAATATTCTCCACACATCGATTTCAATGTTAATAAAATAATTTAATAATTTAACCCAAAATTTAAACTATTAAGATAAGGCTTTCATTTTCTGATGTGAGATAATCCTTTCAACAATTAATACATACGGATCTCTTTCATCAACAATAGTAGAAATACATAATATTGGACTGAGACAACATCACTTTTCACTATCAGCAGAGCCAGAATTAACATCTGCACCCTTAACATTTCGATACTTGTACAACTTAGCACACACTAGATAATAACCAAAATTGAGCACCCCAACCACAACTAACATCCAATACACATTGTCTAGCTTCCCATTATTTATATCATTTGGTAACCACCCTGTAACCCTCTGAACCAAATTAATCACACCTGTGCTTAAATAAAATGCAATCCCAATGACCAACGAGATCATCGCGGTCGATGTGCTTCGAAGAGACACTGGAAATTCTTGATAGTACAATGCAACTTGTCCCGGAAAATGAAATGCCTCTCCAATACCTGCCAAAACCAACTGCGGGAAAAGCCACAAGGCCAGCATTGGTACAACAGGTTGGAGGTGGTTCGCTTTGGCTAATTTGAGCCTTTTTGACTCTACTAGTGCTGAAAGAGCCATGCTAAGAACATTTAGCACGTGGCCTAATCCTATACGTTGGAGGGGCGTTGGAGATCGACCAGTCAGCTTCTGCCACACAGGACATAAGAACCTATCAATAAGGGTGAGAGAGATGGCTGTGGAGAGTAGGACAATGACTATAACAGAGCCAGATGGCATTTTGAAATGAGGGCCAATGTGACGGTCCATGCTTAGAGCTTGCAGGACTATCATGCTGGACTGGACTCCTAATGGGGTACTTAAGAATATGGTTGTCGACCATAATGGCAAAATTCTTATAATTGTCTTGAAATCTTCGACCTGTTGCATTGTGCTTAGTCTCCATGGTTTTGCAATGGAACCATCTGATCTGATGTCTCCTTCAATTTTTTGTGCTGCACGGTTTAGGAATCTGTATGCAAAGAGGGGACATCAAGTTCGTATTTCTATAGTCCAAATTGAATCGATCTCTCAACCCATATTTCTACATGATCTCTATATTATACGACATTGACTAGTTTAAAAAAAAAAAAAAAAAGGAAATTGTTGTCTTGTGCCAAACTATGATTCTAAGATGGCCAAGATTCACTGACAACATAAGCATTTGTTTGACAACAAAAGTTTGGTAAGATAGCATAACTTTTCGATCTAAGTAATTAACCCTGTAAAGTTTGTACCTGAAACTGTTGCTAAGTGTTCCAGTCACTATGCCTTCTTTCACTCCATCATGTCCATCGTAATAATCCTTACTTTCGGAGGAGAGCTGGAGTTTCCTTTTTTGAAAAGCAGCAACAGCAACCCTAGCTAAACCAACAAATGGACTTCCTTGTGGCTTATCAATGTTATAAAACCGGGTTCCAGATAAGAATACGGCCAAGCCAATTATGTTGGTAAGGACACATAGGCCAAACCCCCATCTCCATCCAGCATTGTCCTCAATGTAGACAATAACTGTTAGGGCTACAGCTGTAGTAGAGTATAGAGTAAAGAAGTACCAGTTGAAGAAACTCGCTTGATTCTTAGGCTTGTCAAACTGGTTTGCTCCCATTGTTGCCAGGGTATAGCGGGTACCGCCCAAGCCAATAGAAGCTAGAGCTATACCAGTATACAATACTGCATCTTGTAATGTTGAAGTGGGTTGGCATAACTCTGATCCCACAACACAAGGTTGAGGCCTCAACGAATTCAGCATCGCAGTTAATGCTAAGACAATTATGCCCTACAAAATATTTGAATCCAAGATTATGCAGGAAGTTTAACAAGTTAAAAGGTTATGCTGATATCTAATATGTTATATTGTTAGATCATTCATCTCTACGTGATCAATCTAAGATCAGATTGACCAGACGATGTTATATTGTTAAATTCAACCATTAAATGTGAATATATAACTTGTCCCTCAATTTAAGCCTCTAAATTAAGCATTTCCCCCCAAGTACTTAGCTAGCAATTGCCAAATAAAAGTGAATAGCAGCTAAAACCAAGTACATATCAAAAGTTTTATTCATGTGTTCACATAAATCAGGAGCAAAAAATAGGCACAGATGGAACAAGCATGTACTAAGAGATTGACTATTTTATTACCAGCAAGGAAATGCAGGAGGAAATTGAGATAACGGAGAATGAGCCGAAGAGAGAGTCAGCTACGATTGCTCCGATGATTGGGAAAAAACTTGAAGAACCGTTAACCACATTTGCAATCTGAGCAGCATCAATGCTCTTTACATGGAATTCTTCAATCAGAAATACAATCAAATTTGAGAGCCATCCTCCGGCTGCAAGTGTCAGGCCTACCAAAGCCCCTGCGCAATATAGAAGTTCATAATCATAACTCGGATACTATGTTCGACAATCACTACACTAGCGTGAGTTAGCAAACTAATAAAATGAAAGAGATGGAGAGAAAGAGAGAGACCAGTAATGAATGGGAAAGTGATCCAACCACCGCGCCTGCTACCGGAATGTGATGATGATGCATGGGCTTCATCATTGTGGGAAAGGGACTCATCCATGTTGGAGGGTCAACTATTTAAGCAAGCTCAAAGTTGCTGATATGCTTACAACTTGTAGTGTGATATTCAACACGAACCCGTTGCACGGGTTAATATATATTTGAGAATCCTTCAATTCTACACAACCCACAAAACACGTTTGCCATATTTGCTATTATATTTTTGGTGTCCTGAATTTCTGTTTGTTAAATTAACAGTTCTTCATGACGTTATTATTATATGTATTTCATTAAGAAAGTTCTGTTACTTTACACAAGCAAGCATTGCTCGTAAGTTAATAACTCATCACCAACTCTTATATAGGTTTGAATATCTTCCAAATGTACCCCACATTCAATTATCTTAAGCCCTTGTCGATTTTTAATTATTTTAGGTTCCCTAGCTATTTATAAAAATCACTACTAGAAAAAGAGGCAAAAGCCACAGTTACAACAATAACAAAACTTTAATTGGGTTGCCATTTCCAGAAGGGGGAAGAATGAATGATTTTACACGCGATGTCAGGACAAAGACAAGAAGATGGCAGTCCAAATAGATATACTTTTTTTATGAAGTCTGAAACACGCATATTGGAAATCAATTAAAGAAGGATGCCCTGCCTAACGAAATGATCTCATGTGGGAGTGACTATTTGTTAGGTTGATTTTATATGCAAATTTTATACCCCTTACACTTATTATTTAGTCATGATTTTATATTAAATTGGTGAGTTTAATGTGTCTTGTGTGAGTTTTTGTAGAAAAGATGATTTGTGAATAAAGCAGGGAATTGGAAGCTTAAAATAGAGAAACAAAAAGAATTACCAAGTGGGGTGTGAACTGATGGGCTGAAGCAAAGAATGGAGCAATACATCATATAGGGAATTGGATCATTAAAGCAAGCCCAATACAATTAGGGGTGCAACCATGCGGTGATGTATTCTTTTCCCAAAAGAATTGGGTTTGAGACTATGCAATGCACGTGGATTAGGAGACTATAAAGAAGACGAGGAGGAGGCGTCAGAAGGGGATAATTTTGGAGAGCTCTACACCCAGCGCATGCCCAGACTCAAACACAAAGATTGAGTTGAAGATTTATTCCATGTCATCGAGTTCAACCATGTTTGTTATTAGTTTGATCATGAACTAAGTCCTCTTGCTAGGACTAGGGTGTACTCTTATCATGAGCATTTAATTCTTGTTATTTCCTATTAAATTCGGTCGTTGTTCATGTTGAGTAATTGTTATTGTGCTTTATCGATATCAAATAACTGGTCGTTATTTGTGTGAAGAGCTAAATTGTGACTGACAGGTTGAGTTTAGAAGTTCGCTTCTCATAACAGTTACCATGAATTGCATAATTGAGTAGACATACTGGTTATGATTTGTGTAGTATTGTGTAATTATCCATTTAGCATAAAGGGTTTCAAATATCTATATCTGTTGCTAGACATAGCATGGGTAGATAGTTAGAAACACGGTTAGTATATTCTGAAAGGAAATATTGACGACTC